CAGGTACATTATTGTTGTTAGTATCTTCAAAGAACTCTTGTTCATCAACGTTGAAATTCAGTATAATGGAGTGGACTTGATTTGCAACAATGTTCAGGTACATTATTGTTGTTAGTATCTTCAAAGAACTCTTGTTCATCAGCATTGAAATTCAGTATAATGGAGTGGACTTGATTTGCAACAATGTTCATGTACGTTATTGTTGTTAGTATCTTCAAATAACTGTTGTTCAATTGTGTTGAAATTCAAGATAATGGAGCGGGCTAGACTTGCACAGAAACATTCAATTATTCATGTACACACTGGTTGTTAGCCACTCTTCTAAAATAACCAAGAATCTCCACACACAAACACTACCATAATAATTCCGCACTCCATTAAACCTCCTTCAGCACATTGCACTGTCGAAATAACACAGAGTCAAGTGCCTCGAATGTTTTCCATATTTTTTACTTTTGTAAGCATGTACAGAATACAATATGATTCATCAGATCATCTCACTCACTTACACTTACCCATTGTGAATACTTTGCGTTCTAAACACCTTGAAAGACTGGTTTTCTCGTTTACATTTCATATGAGCATTGTTCGAATTGGTTGTCGGCTGCCATTTGCTGAAATGTCCTTGAGGTTGTACAATTGAAGATACTAATCCTCGCCACTAGCTCATGGAATTGGTCAACTGGAACACAAGCTGTTATTTGTTACACAAGCCTTTCCAATCGTCTTTTCCCTCGGTCAGTCATCATAAGTAGTTGAGAGCCACTATTTGTCTATAGTGGGAGACACTTTCTTCTCAAGTGTCACTCTTAGTAGACGAATCTGATGATAGATGATTCTGAATAGCCTGTCACAGAAATGATCTTCAATAATGATACTATTTTTAAATAGATGCCATGCTTCGTTTTAAGTCTTACAGGTAGTTTGTTATGCACCTACATTGTAATACAATCTAACTATAATATCGCCACAATAACATTATCGCCGATACTACATGAGTGGACAGTTAGAGTACATCGAACACTGATTTGAATAAATCAGTAGCGGTAGAAAGTTAAGAATACATATAACATTTATAAAAAGGGCGGTAAAATCGAAAAATATTTAACATTAAGTCTGAATTAAACGCAAAATACGTAATAATTTTATTAAAGAGCATAAAGGCGGGAGTAAATTTAAACATTTTTTTCACTGAAAAGCCACTCCGTCATCGACTTCTCTGCTTGATGAGAGCTGACACTACGCTCGAAATTGTAGCTCTTAGCTTGAATAGGCTTTATTAGTTAGATGATCTTCAAAATTCACTTCATCCAGGTGTAAAGAATATCAGAGTGCCTAATTTACCTTTAGCTAGCGGCAAACTCTCGATATGAAATTGTAAACAACCATACAAGTGTGTGTGTGTGTGAGTCTAGAAACTATACGTCATACATAATAGAACGAGTCTATCATAAGTGTGATCAAGAAAGTCAAAGAAGAATTACTTCGACTAGGCTTTCCATATATATATATTCATGACGTGTTGGAAAGTGCTTAGTTCTAACACTTAATTATGAAGCATACAATATATATACATATACTAAATTGTTGACCAAAGTGGCAAATACTGTTACTAACCTCTGCGTTGTAAATTACAATTTCAAAATAAGCGTGTGCTTTATACATACGAAGTTTTAGAAATCCACACGTGGATAATTAATATTAAGATATTCAAAGTGTGGCGCCCCCTTTCTTTATGAAATTAATCTAGGTTGATTTGAAACTGTCAGAGTTAAACTTTACTTCGTGTGTGTATACGTATACACATTTACACACACACACACACACATTACTCATGCAGGTCAAAAATATCGGGAGACATTTATTTAGCTGTCTATTTAAGAACCTTAATGTGTCACTACTCCACCACGAAAACGAAATTTTATTACTTCAATAAATAAACAGTATGTTTTACACCTGATATATTCATATACGTACACATATATATGTTAAGTATCAGCAGTTTATTTGACACTAAAGGATGAACACCCATAAACCACGCATACCTTCACAACTTCTGTGGATATTCAACCCGATTTTCTGTAAATTTGTTAGACTATGTTGGAATGTTGCGTTATTTCGCAACTATCTGTAGTTTGACAGAAATATCTCCATTCGTTTACAATGTTCTATATTCAACCATTACACATATTTCACTGTAAGTAATGTTTCCCTTTCTATATACTCTCAATACATGACTTTTTGTGACCTAAGAAATATGGCTCACAATGCAAAAATCACATAATTCAGTGTAAATAAAGTTTCCTTTACTTCATATATAATTTCAGCATATGATATATCTCCTACGTGAAACATGACTTACTATATGCAAATCACATATTTCAGTGTAAGTAATGTTTCCTTTGCTTTATATATGAGAGATGTCCTACGTGAAACATGACTTACTATATGCAAATCACATATTTCAGTGTAAGTAATGTTTCCTTTGCTTTATGTATAGTTTCAATATGTGACATGTGTCCTACATGAAACATGACTTATATACAAATCACATATTTCAGTGTAAGTAATGTTTCATTTGCTTTATATATGAGAGATGTCCTACGTGAAACATGACTTACTATATACAAATCACATATTTCAGTGTAAGTAATGTTTCCTTTGCTTTATATATGAGAGATGTCCTACGTGAAACGACTTACTATATACAAGTCACATATTTCAGTGTAAATAATGTTTCCTTTGCTTTATATATAGTTTCAATATATGACATGTCATACGTAAAACATGGCTCATTATATACAATTCGCACATTTGAATGTAAGTACTGTTTCCCTTGCTTTATATATAGTTTAAGTACATGACTGTTTTTGCGCCCTAAGAAACATGACTTACTATATACAAATTATATCTTAAGTTCAAACTTCTCATCACCGAAATGCCTACACGTACACCTTTACTTCCAGTACCACTACAAGAATTGGAGCCAATACCAAAGTTTCTAATTTACAAAGTCCCGCCTTCTCAGCCATCGCTTCTGTCATGATGATAGATTATTGGTACGACCGTGCAGTGTTTTGTGCTAGAGGCGGGAACGTTCGGACCTGGTGCGTGGCTGTCGGTCGCTGAGCAACACCGTAGTAGAAGTCTTACTGTTACAATGCCATGATCGAACGACTCTGGCTGCGCGTGCACCACCGGCTTTCGCTTTCTGCTCAACTTGTGTTTTCTTCGTGACGCTTGCACGGTGGACATCGTCTCAATAGGACAAAAACTACGTCATTAGGGTTCTTGAGGCTCAGGTGGTAGTTAACGAGTTTCTTGTTTATAACAAACACGGAACCCAGTAAACAACAAAATATTAGATATACTTTTGCAGGGTAAGGGAGCGACGGGATATTCGTTTCCTCTTCGCGCTTCCAACCTCATCTAGCTGAACGACGATCGACAACATTCCAGCACCGTGGCGTTCCCAGTGGCTAACTCGTCCTGTTCTCCCTTCTCTTCGTCGGCCTACCAGCCGTCATCCTCGCCAGGCATGGCCTACCTGAAGTCTCCTCCGTATTCCATGAACGGAATCGGACTACCTTCCCCAGGAGTGGACTTCTTGCACCCTACGGTTGGGTATTCTGGTAAGCTCCTTTCCAATTTCTCTAATTTTTTGATTCAGTTATTTGTCAACTGACAGACAGCTGCAGTACTGATGACCTCTACTTTGTGTGTAAGTTCCTCGTTTTTTTTTCGTTATGCCACCGTAAGCCTTTCCTTGTCATGCGCTAGCTAAGCACTCTCAACCCAGACTAGAGCCTCTGTAAAGCCGATTATCAGTCGACTCATGATTTGACGGGTGCTATTCAGAACATAATGGCATGGCCCGTTTCTCTAATCTAATATACGCCAAGAGGAATTACGGACAACACAATGATTAATTCGTACTAAGAATATAATCCTGTGCACTTTACTTAATTTTAATGCTATTTAAATACATGTGGATGATTCTAACAAGTAGCTTTAACTAGGGAAACCTTATCGGGATTAATACTTCTTTTTCGGAGGTTGAATTTACTGTTTATAAAAGGACATCAAACGAAAGCTTTGATACACTAGTCTTAGAGCATCAGACCTCGTGTGTATCTCCGTAAATATAGCTACTTTCTAAACATGATTACCATTGTCATCGGTATATTTCCTTTTGCTGGTTACACGGGGCTTTTAGTATCAACAGAGCTTTATCTAAACGAAAAGTAGCAAACACGCACTTAACGTATACGTGGAAAAACTTGTAGTGTTATGTTTTATTTTTACATTGAGACCTCTGTCCACCTGGCTGCGCTGCAAGACACCCTCGATGTAACTAAGTGAATTCGTTGTGGAGTGTGAAAGAAAACTTAAGAATTGGAGTTTAAGTATGGATTTACTTTATTACTTTATCACTAAAAACCAAAGATATAGTATGACACGCTTGTGGAGATTATTATGCATTGTGTTCGAGTGGAGCACACAACACGTTTACGAGCTACGCGTATCTTCTCAAAATCAGGAGCAAACGAGAGGCGGACCTCCGACAGAAAGTAGCCCCTAACCCAAGCCGCAGGATTATCAGCACATATCTCCTACAATCTTGTTCGCTTCGCTTGGAATGTGACCTTTTCTTGTTAAGATCTTGTTGTTTCGAAGACGAATTTCCATAAGCTTTAGGGTTTAACAGTCTTCATAAAAATACCATGTAAGTGAACTCAAAAATACCCGTTATAGAAATAAACCCGCGTGCAAGTCATGCAAGAATGCTTATAGGTTTTAGGTTTATTAACTAACTGAAGGTGAAATATATCTACAATAAAATTAAGACTTCGTTTTAAATGTTACCTGTATGTGCTTGAAGTGTACTTAGCGATAAATAAGTCATTGAATATATTGTATTCTTATTCTTATTATAATTACACATGGATATAACATTGCATTCTGTAATTAACTGTATAAAAGTGATATACTCGCTACCTGGACGCTAAACACCTGTCCAGTTATTAAGGGTAAGTTTTATGCAATAGGTAATATACAATATAATTTTCTTTATTAAGTATTTACACGAGGTAATGTCGTGGGTTCGGCACACAGTTAGTTTCAAAAATCAAGAATGAAAGTCAAACCTGTCAGAATTTTATTACATAAGTTAATTGGATGAAATAAACGTCAATCCAATTGTCAAAGTTTTTTATGCTTTTTTTAAGCTAGATCGATGTAAAGATTTTCTCAAATGTTTCCACTGAGAATGACGTCAAAAAATTAGGGGAGTTTACGATAATGTTTGCATCTTAACGTTTACATTTATAATCTGATTCTGTACCTGACCAATTTCTTATTAAATGTAATTTTATAGCTTATATTATCTTTAAGTTACAATAAATGATTATCTATTATTATTTGAAAACCAGCATTACAAGAAAAAAAAAAAACGAGATTTCTTTCAAGTTTTGTTCGAAATGAAACATCTGATTGGTTGTAACATTTTCATAATGATAAAAAGTTTCTCTGAATCTCAAATTAAGAATTTCTTGACCATTTCACACCATTCTAAATATACTTTTCAATCAAAATACTAGTTATATGTATAAAAAAACAGGCGGAAGAAATGGAATGAAAGCAGAAGGTAAGCGTGTACTCGTTATATACGGTGGAAGACATGGAGTGAAAGT